GTCTAAACTCCTTGAAGGTCGTTATATAGGGTTTAGGGTTTTGGGGGTTTAGGGTTTAGCTTCGACTCAAAATATGAGCTAATGTAGACACATGATTAATAACCCCCCTTCCTTTTAAGGACCTTAATATTAGGATCCCTATTATAATCCCTACTAAGGGGAGGGGGTTCATTAATCAGGGGTCTGGGTCAGTGTCTAAACTCCTTGAAGGTGGTTTTTTGGGGTTTAGGGTTTAGGCTTTAGGCTCTAAACTCCTTGAAGGGGGTTACATTGGGGATTATATAGGGGACAACTATAGGGGTTATCAAGGGGGATACTAGGGGCTTAGAGTATATTACATTATGACTCATAAGAGCTACTGTCAATAACAGCCTTCTTAAGTGCCCTTAGTAGTGGGCGTAGGGGTCCTTCTTCTTGTTCAGTACAGTCCCTCATATGGTATGAAAAACGAACCCATTTCCATTAAATTGAGTAGGAAAAACTGTAGCTCAGATGAGGTAACTTGGAAGCTTGAGTTTGGGTACTGCCCCTACTTTAAAACGATTATTTTTCTTATAAAGACCTTGATATGACTCCTGATGTAGACTGTTACAGGATGGGGGCAGCACCCCAGCTTGAGTACTCATCAATAGCATTGCCTGTGGTATCCTCATAGAGTTAGAACACGTGTATGTATACATATATACACAAACCTCAACGCCCTATTATGCTTATTTAGGCCCCTACAAGAAGATGGATCTGGTAAGTGCATAGGATGTTTCTGAGGAGCATGTTCGAGTGTATGTGTCGGGTGTCCATGTCGGGAGACCCTACCCTAAACCCCACACCCTAAACCCCTAGACCCCAAACCCTAAACCCTAAACCCCTTTCATGTCAGGGTTTAGGGTTCAGGACATTTATGCACTATGAAGCCTAGGTTCCCCGTTTGCCTGAACGATAATTCTAGGGGTTTTCAAGGCAGGTAGGCATGTCACCGCACAATCCTGCCTGGATACTCCATACAAAGCCCGAAACCCTGTAACCTAAACCCCAGGTATAATTTTCAACACTAAAACCCCAAAACCTAAACCCTCAGCCCTACGCCCAAGACCCAAAACCCTAGACCCCAAAGCCCTAAGCCTAAACCCTAAACCCTTAACTACCAAACGGCCTTGAAATTCGTGACGCGCAACCCTATACCTTAGACCTAAACCCTAAACCCTAAATCATACAACCCAAAGGCCTTGAAATTCGTGACGCACAAGTGCGAAGCGACTGGCCGGTCGAAATGCATTCACTGGCTCCCCAAGCTTCGCATGGTAATCTTCCAGGCTTGTGCAGGGTTTCATAGTTTAGGGTTTTGGCGTTACGTATTTAGGGGTTTAGGGCGAAGGGAAAAACACAAAAATGAAATGGAAGCTACTATTCGGGTTTGGGGTCTAGGGGCTTTGAATTAAGCACGTGGGCATTGGGACTAGGGCTTTAGTCTCTTCCGGAACTAGAGATTATGCTAGGATTTCCTCAACGATGAATTTAGAGTTTAGGTTGGGTACTGCCCCCCTCAGTAACAGTCTATATTAGGGGTCCTCTTAAGGGCTTTAGAATCATTATCCAACTGTTACTGAGGGGGGGCAGTACCCAAAGTTTAGGGTTCGGGGGTTTAGAGTTTAGGGCTCAGGGTCCGGTTTTTTTTTTGCTGCTTCAGCTAATGCCGAGGCCTATATGATCTAGGGATCATATAGAATAAGGGTTGTATAGGGGTCATATAAGGGGTTATATGAATCATATACAGGTTATCTTTGGCTTCAGGATACTGACTGCACTAGTGGAGAATCAAATGGAACTATGCAAAAATGAATCCGCAGGACAATTGCCATTATGATTGTCCAATTGTTTTGCATGACTACGGCATGGGTTAGTTTAGTTTCCAACTTATTGTTCATTATCTTTTCCATTTGGTCCTCAACGATTGCGCACTAAACATTAAATCTTAAACCCCAAGCCCTAACCCTAGACCCTAAAGCCCTAAACCCTAGACCCTAAAACCCAAACCAAAAAACCCAAACCCTAAAACCTGAAATTCCAACCCCCGGAGCCACGAACCTTAAATCCTAAGCCGCAAAACCCCTGAACCCTAAACCCTAAACAGTAGCTTCCATATTCTTTTCCATTGTCGCTATAAAAAATCCCTATATAACCCTAAATAACCCCTATATAACCCCTACATGACCCCTTAAACCCTAAACCCTGAAGCCTATATAAGAACCAGAATCGTGTGTGCCAGGCCGACAACAAGAGCTCCGTCATGAACTACCTGCCCAAGCTTGCCGGATGCTGCACTCAGCTACCTGGCTGTATGTACTTGTTTATTTATGTATATATTTCTACATATACATTTACATATATATTTATATAGATGATATATATATATGTATATATGTATAGATATAGATAGAGAGGGTTTAGGTATAGAGTTTAGATAGGGGTTAAGAAGAGGAGTATTATAGGGGTTACTAAGGGGATTACGAGGAGCTGAGACTGTAGCCGATATAGGATTTAAGGGTTCGGGGTTTAGGGTAATCATGGAGAATAAAAAGGACAAGAAACCGGAAACGAAATGGAAGCTACAGCGGGCAGGTTTGAAAAAGTTTTGTTATACCTTAATCCCTATATAGCTCTATAAAGCCGTAAAGCGAACTATTGTTTATAGGGCCCTGAAACGTAGCCTAAACCCGAAACTAAACCCTTAATCCAAAACATAGGATCCCCCAACCTACCCGACCTACACCCTCAACCCTAGACCTAAAAACTAAACAAGGTTGGCGGTCGATTTGAAAGCTAAAGCTTTCCGGCTGGATGGCCCTAAGGGCGAGCACCTGGATCATTATAGGGTTTAGGGTTTGGGTTAAGGGCTTCCGAGTCCTTGTTATTTTGGCCTGGGAATTGTTAATTCAATTATTAAACACTGTTCATACAGATATTGTATTGGGGCTGTTGGCATACTCCTACAAGGAACTTTTGCTTCCTACAAAGAGAATGAGAACGAAGGTACGATGTCCCCAAGACCACCGATGTGCTCAAGAGCAAACATCATGCTCTCAATGCCTCCGCCGCTGCTGCCACGGTCCCCGTAGTCAGCGAGCTCCCGACCATCCATGATGCCCTCCAGGATCAGTACGATGCCCTTAAGGACAAATACGACAGCCTAAAGGGCAAGTACGAAGCCCTCAAAGGCACCTTGTCAAGTGTTGGGGAAGGCCTGCAACTATGCACTCAGCTACCTCTGGTTGGCAAGCAATGAAGGAATGGATCCTCGTAGTTGTCCCTATATGATCACCAAATGCATGGTAGTTTCCTTGTTTATTCCTTCACTTCCTGCAAACCACAGGCAACGCACATCCCAAAACCCTAAACCCTAGACCAAGAGCATCCCTTCCTAAACCCTAACACCCTAATTCCCTCAACCCTAAACTCTAGTACCTTAAGCCCTTAAACCCTAAAACCCTAGTATCCTAAACCCCAAACACTTAAACCCGAAACCCTAAAACCCTAGTACCCTAAACCTTAAACCCTAAACCCTCTACCTGGGGACTAAGGCCAGCAGGAAGCCCCAAAGGCTACGGCTGTCCCCAAGGATAAGGCCGCAACCAAGTCGCAGCAGCATGGAGACCACGCTGAAGCTGAGATGTTCTTCAGCGTTTAGGGGTCTTGGGTTTAGGGTTATATTGGGGTTATATTGGGGCGTTTAAGGGGTTTTGGGGTTTTGGGTTTTGGGTTATATTGGGGTCGTATTGGGGTAATGGAAAGGAAAATGGAAACTACAATTTAGGGTTTAGGCTTTAGGGTTTAGCGTTATGATTTATGCAGCATGCTTTCTAGATGTCTGTGTATATACGTATGCGTACATACATCTACATATACACATGTCTGTATATACTACCTATGTATGTATACATATACGCATGTGCATGCCTACATCTGCACAGATAGATAACTACCCCTTAAACCCTAAACCCTAAACCAACCCCCAAACCCTAAACAAATATGTGTACATAGAAACACATCTATATGCGCATGCGACTCAAGCACTTCTATTGGGGTACTACCCTCAGCCATAAATCCTAAACCCTAAATCCTAATTTGTTTGGGGTAGGATTTAGAGTTTAGGGTTTTGGGGCACTGGATCTGGCCCTGAAGTAGAAAATTCCAAAGTCTGAAACCACAGGCATCCTGTCAGGAATGGGGGTGCACTTTAAGCCCTAAGACACCAAACAGCTTAGGAGGCTTAGGATTGAGGGTTAAAATCAGGGTTTAGGCTTTAGGGTAAACCCTAAGCCCCCTAAGACACCGAACAGCTTAGGAAGTGACTTGTGCCAGTCGAACGCCCGACTACAACTTGGACCGCCTGACACGCCAACCTGAGGGAAAACCTTTCAAGTACAATCCCAGCAATCGCGGAGAGGCCTTGGGAAAACGGCATTTAGTGGGAAAACGGCATTTAGGGTTAAGGATTTAGGGAGTTGGGTTTGGGGTTTAGAGTTTAGCGTTGAGGTTTAGGACTCTGGGTTTGGACCCTAAACTGTGTAGATGTGTTTCAAAAAAGTCGTGCGCCTGTCCTTCAAGACTCGGCCCGTTAAACAGTGGGCTTAGGGTTTAGGGTTTAGGGTCACTTTGTTTCATGAAGCTTTAGGTGTAGGGTTTAGGGGTTTAGGATTTCAGGGTTTAGGGCTTAGGCTTGGTTAGCTGTAACATGGCTCCCGAGAGTTTCTCAAAATAGTCCTTATCCAACCTGTCAGGGGCCCCACCCCATCTATAGCCCTAAGCCCTAACCCTTAAACCCTAAACCCTAAACCCTAACCCTTAAACCCGAAGCTATAAACCCTATATATGTTTCGCACAAAAGGCTCTAAATTTCCGCTGGGTTGCGCTAGGGCTTATAGTCCCCCTTAAGTAGATAGAATATGGTTTTGGGTATATTATAATAAGATCCCCAAATACTCCATATTCTCTCTGCCTAAGGGGGACCATAGGGTTTGGGGTTTAGGGTTTAGGGAAGTATTGAGGTGCGAGGTTGAGGGTTTAGGGGTTTAAGGTTCAGGGTTGGTTTAACCCCTACACCTGAAGCCTAAACCCCTAAAACACTCAACCCTAGACCTCTAAATTCCTAAACACCTAAACCCAAAAACCCTAAACCTTAAACAACTAAGCCCTATAAACCCCTAAACTCCTGTAGAGTGACGAGGCGGCTACGGTCTTTGTCATCGACTCCGGCATCAATGAGGGCCACGAAGAATTCCGCCGTAACAACAAAGGTATTGTCAAGGTGCGCAGTTGAAAACGAGTTTAGGGTTTAAGGGTATAGGGTTTAAGTGTTTAGAGGTTTAGGGTTTGGAGGTTTAGAGTTTGGAGTGGCTTAATGTGCGCAGTTCCAATATGAATTGGGTTTAGCTCACCCCGAACTGTACTTACTCTTGGGAATACATCCAAATTACCCTAAACCCTAAACCCTACACAAGTTACCCTAAACCCAGGGGGCAAACCAAGGGGAACAGCACAAAGGAAGTGACAGCTTGGGACCTTCGTCTTGCTTTATCTCCGACACCTCCCCCTGAACCTTCGACTGACCGCCCCTGCTTCGTCATGCTTCGTCAAAGGTTCGTGGAAATTTGCCTTCGTAACCTGGTCTTGCTTCAATGGAAATTTGGTGGCCTCGGTTCGCAAACACCTTGTGGCCCGTGGACTAGGTTCGTCACGGCCCCCCTGCCTCCCGCAGGTTTCGTCAAAGGCTGCCCGGCGTTCCCCCTGGGCCGTTCCCCGTGATTTGCTTCTTATAAACCCATGACCCTAAACCCCTAGTCCCTATGTATCGCCAACAAATCCGATGTGGCTTTCCGTTTGCAACCAGCAGCAAGGCAGTTTGGGATCTTCAGCTATGACTGAATATGACTCCCACACCTACACTGGAACCCCCAAGCCCGGAAACTATGAACTTACCCTCCACCTATACGTTCTAAACCCTCAACGAAGAATCTTGAACCTTAAACTAAAAACTATAAACCCAAACTCGAAAATGTAAACCGTAAAGCCCATGCTTCTAGCCCTTAATCCGAAACCCCTCAACTGAATACACCCCAAACCCTCAAATCTAGAATAAACATAGTTGTCCCTCATAGTCAATATTACTGGCCGGGGCCCCTCCAAACCTATATAAGCTACTGTCAATACTAGGCTTACAAAGGGACAATTTAAGGTGGATAAAAAGGGGGGCATGTCATTGGACATGATGGCCTAATAACGACCCACGTCCATTCCTTTGGTTAGCTAGGAATGAAAGAATGGATCATTGTAGTAGTCCCTGTATGGGTGGTTGTCAAAAATATGGTCCCTTTTTGGGTACCCTAAATATTAGGGGCCGTATTATAATAGGGACCCCAAAAAGGGACCATAATTTTGACAACCACCCATATGATATAGCCCATTATAGTAGTTACCATGTTGGTTTTTCCATTCCTTCATTCCCAGCTCACCAAAGGCCACTTAAAAGCATAAGGGAATTTGTAATATTGACTCTTGCTGATATATCCTTGTATATCCCTCAGGGCCCTGACAGCTTCTCGTTTTTGAGACATCCCTAGCCCGAGGCACCAAACCCTAAATCCTAAAAACCCTACAACTCAGGTTTTGGGCAAGTACGTAGCCCAGGGAAAGCCACCAGGGGAGGACAAAACTCACGGCACACACTGCGCTGGGATTGTTGCAGGAGACTGGGATGGAGCTCAGGGGTTCAAGGATTTAGGCTTTGATCGTGTGGATTCACGGGGTTAAGGGTTAAGGGTTCCAGGGTGCAGGTTCAGAAGTTGATATAGGCACGAATTCAGGAGTTGTAGGGTTTAGGGTTTAGGGGTTTAAGGTGTAGTGCTTTGGTAATGCCTAAACCCTAAACCGTTTGGGGGTCTGGGTTGTAGGGCTTCAGGGTTGAGGCCCAGGGCTGATGTGACACGAAGTTCCCGAACTCCCCACCTGAAGTTGCTCTTTCTACTGGTACTGTGGATGCAGGAAATCTTGCACTCTTACGTACCCTAAACCCTAAACCCTGAACCCTAAACCCTAAACCACTAAACCCAATAAGTATAGGACGATGGCTCTGCAGGTGGTTCAGGATGTCCTTCATCCACCGTAGGCAGGCTGCCAGTCTGCCGGAAACTGAACATGTACAGGGCTAAGCAATTACAACTAGTTTTGGTTGCGGTTTAGGGTTTAGGGTTGAAACCTAAGCAGCCAGTTATAGTTGGGAACACCATCCCCTTCTCTTTGCAAACCAGTTGCAAAACCCTTATCACCCCCTTGTATACTCTAAATCCTGAAGCGCAGTGCAGGAAACAACTTTGGCGTGGCTAAGGGCGCCTCCTTGGTGGACGTTCAGGTGGGAGATTTTTATTGGTGGTTAGTAGCGAATGGAGGAATGGAAAAAAATGCAAACTACTATAGAACCTGGGGTTCAGGTTTAGTTTTAGGCGGTTTAGGGTTTGGCACTTACAAAACATGTACCTGGGAGAAGTCTTCGCGTTGAAACCGCTTGCATCTGGGTAAGTTCTCATAATGTCAGTGTTAGATTGAAGGGCACCCTGCGCGGAAGCCTGAACAGGTGACCTGTTTTGTGAAACTGTTGATACGTAAAAGCCGGCATGACCTCAGTATACCCTAAACCCTGGTACCATCATTCCCAGGTGTTCGGGTACTTAGGGTCATGCAGGATTAGAGTTTTGGGTTTAGATTCGTTGTGTCCGCTGTACCACCTTTTTCCTTATGACTTGTTTAGACCCTTTCCTGAAAGACCCCAAACTCCACCTTAGCATAGTGATCCAACTAAACCCCAAACTTTGAGCCAAAAACAACCTTAGACCCTTCTGTTTATTTGCTGGCTGCCGGCAATAATGCCAATACATGGTATTCCTTGTTAGAAGAACTCCCAACAAGGGACCCATGATTGCCGGGAATCCTGAAATGTACATATCCCTGTATATCGCTATATAACCCTTACATAACCCTTACATAGCAGTTTTGTTAAGGGACCCTTTGGTATTGGAGATTGCCAGGTTTTCGGAGAGGAGGGAGGCAGCTCCTATTCCACCATTCTGGACGGAATGAAGCTGGGCCCTGGTACTTCCAGCGAGTAGGGTAAGTTTATTGTTTAGGGGGATTAGGGTTTAGGGTCCTGGTACTTCCAGCGCGTAGAGGTTTGGATTTCTGGATTGCCGGGTGAGGCGCTTAAGGTAATTAGACGAAGTCGCCATGATATGGATATCTAGTAAGTAATTGGCTTCCCGGTTGTAGCCACTCAGTTTACGTCCCTTAACAGCCACCTAGATGTAGGTACCTAGATGTAGGGAGTACCAGCGGGCATGATGCGGCGAGATGCCCTTCTAGAGTAAAGTGGGTGGACATCCCTAAGCCTTGAACCCTAAGCCATGAACCCTAAGCCCTAAACCCTAAGCCGTAACCTAAACCTTAAGCCCTAGGCCCTAAACCTGAAGCGTATTGTGCCAGGGATGCTTGCAAGGCAACCCATGGGGAGCATGGTAGAGGGTTAGGGCTTAGGAATTACGGTTAGGGCTTCGGGTTGAGGGCAAGGCCAACAACAGCATCCTTTCTTACAGGCTTCGGATGTATACCCAAAGGTGCTGTGGTCTTGTGTACAAGTGTATTTAGTGGTACCCCTAAACCTCAAACTCTAAAACTGAAACCCTAAACCTTACACCCTAAACCCTAAAACCTAAACCCTAAACCCGAAGCCCTGAAGCTAAAACCTAAACCCTTAGCCTACCCACTCCCAAACTGGCATAAAATCCCATATGCCCCCTTCCAAGAGGTCAGCGGTGTTTTTTCTGGAGCTTCCTTGCGGGATCCAGGTGGTTGGGTTTAGGATTTTAGGGTTTAGGGTTTGGGACAGGGTAGAAGGGTACCGTAGCAGCCCGAATAATTATTACCACAATTCATTCAGTCATCAATCTTACATAATAACAGAGAACCAAGATACATAGCTACGGTATAATGGGCAAGTATTCTGTGCCTCCAGACCTTGTTCTAATTGCTGGTTAGGCCCCTGAATTTAGCCTATATCAACCCAGGATGTCTATTGTTTTTGTTGCTTTCCATGTAATTCTCCACTTCTAACTGTCATTGAGGGCCCGTAGCCCTAGCCTCCAAATGAGGTCCCTACACCCTGAACCCTATACACTCCCCCAAATTAACATGGAAACCCATATAGACCCCTTTNNCCATGTTAGTTTCCGGGAGTGTGTACCCCAACAAAAAACCTGTACACCGATCAAAAGAAACCCGAAGTCAAGTTATCTAGGCCCCTACACTAGTGACAAATGCCGAGGAACTTTGTGATGGAAAGCTGCGCTGGAGGATAGGAACATCCATGATAGGTTTTCGAAACAGGATTTAGGCCTTAGGGGTTTAGGGGTTGCAGAGTTCAGAGGCTCCAAAAGGTTTAGTGTCTGAGGGCTTTGGTTTAAGAGGTTTAGGCTAGAGGGTTTTGCCAAAACCCTAAACCCTAAACCCTAAACCCCTAAACCCCAATCCCCCAAACCTCCACTATGAAGTCGAAGAGGGCCTCACCACGGGCCCCTAAGAGGAGCCCTGACCACTTCTCCTGGATGCTAAATTCTAGTGTTCTGTATGTAGTAGGCATATAGAGATATTAGGACCTTTAACGGGGTTTCTAGTGTTCTGTAGGGTGTGTAGTAGGCACATAGGAATTTCAGTGCCTCTAACGCGGTTTCTAGTGTCTGTAGGGTATGTAGTAGGTATATAGGGATTTTAGGATTCGGGGCCCATACTTCGTACCGCAGATGAAGGCTTCACGTCCTACGGAGACGGCACCACGCGCCGTTGCGTGGCCTCCATGTCCCTGGGTGGTCCGATTTCTTCCGCAGTACTTTGGCGGCTCTAGGGTTTCTCTATACAGGTTTTGGGCGGTCTATAGAGGCTGTATAGGCGTTATATGGGGCCTGAATACTTACAAATATCACCGCCAAGACAGGAGAATCCAATCGAAAACAAGTGACAACGATATTGAAGCTGGGCTTGTACACGGGCCGATATAGAAGTGTACACGGGGGGTATGTCATGTAGAAGCTTCAATGATATCCAAGATTGTGGTTTTAGGTTCTTTGCTAATCATGGTACAGGGTACTTTAAGTAGGCGCCAACATGACATTAGTAAGTCATTTGGCCTTCCATGGTATACGATTTGTTCAAGGGTTAGTTAGGGTTGAGGCCGTAGGCTTAGGTTTTGATTTCGATCGTGGTTTTGTTGAGTGGTTCTGTTTCTCAGTTTACATACTAGCATGTATCTGCTCGAGCGTGAGAGTTTCTCACAGCAGTTACACTGATTTCGTGGCGGGCGTCATGCATTCTCCTATCCTGTTGGCTGCAGGGTTGTTATGGAGGAAATACATTTGACTTAGATGGTACCAGGGCTAACACACACGAAGTCAGGGATTTCCATGCCTAGCACATACACACATCCTGCCTTTGACGCCATTAAGCTTGAGATTTACCAGATTACATGCAGCGCTGCCTGCATGTCTAGGCAGTAGGACACAAGAACAGGTTGTTCGATTTAGAGTTTAGGGCTTTAGGTTTAGGATCAACATGTGCTGTTTGCTACTATGAACCCCTAGAGAACTTTTCACCGATCGTTATTATAAGTGGGATGAGAACAGGAAGCGTCATAATAACATCCTTGTACCTCTCTACACACTCCCAAACCCTGAACCCTAAACCCGAAGCTGCCAACCCTCTACCCCGAACCCTCAACTCTAAACTCTAAGACCTAAACCCTGAACTCTAAACCCTAAAACCCCTGAACCCTAAACCCTGAACTCTGAACCCTAAAACCCCTGAACCCTAAGCCGTAAACTCGCTTGCATGAGCTGTGAAGGGGTTTACGGCTTGGGCTTTGAGGTGTCCCAGTTGGAGCTGCACAGGTGTGGGGTTCGGGGCTTTCTAGGGGTTTAGGGTTTAGGGTTTAGGGTGGTGTTCTGAAAAAGTTTAGGGTGTAGGGTTTAGGTAGGGTTTGTGTTTTTCATGAAGCGCCCGAAAAAGAAAAACAAGAAAAACAGCTAATTGTTTGTTGGAAGGTTCCAGGCCACGTTTAGGTTTAAGAGTTGAGTGCTTCGGGCGAGGGACCTTTTCTACCTTGGGTCCCTGTCCTTGCGAACCCTGTCGAACCCTAGGTTTCTACTCTGGCACCCCTGCGTTGAGCAGATCCAGTTTCTTCCAACACTCCCGAAGTTGAATTTTCATGCATATTCTGAATATGACGCCTGCATAGCCCTTGATTTCCCGACTGATCATGCTCCTTCTGTAAAAGCGCACATGTCTGCAGAAGCATCTAAAGTGCTTCAGGGTGGAATCCGCAACATGCCCTGAAGCAACACTGCCCAGGTCAACGATGCTGTGGAGCGAATGGTGGCAGCCAACATTGTCGTTGTGGCGGCAGCTGGAAACGAGGCCTGGGCAATATGGGGGACTTGTAGGGTTTAGACTTCAAGGTTTGGGCTCAGAGTGTAATTAAAGGTTTGGCGTGGGGCCTAACGTAGGATTTTGGGGCTTATGGCGTAGGGCTTAGTCTAAATTACGGTGTATTTGGGCATGCTTTAAAGAAGCCACCAGGGTAGCACGGGCACTGAACACTGAAGCCCCGCATATACCTATCCACTTATCCCGAAGATACTGTAGGGCTAAGCCACTGGAAGGCTGCTAAGGATTCAGGATTTAGAATTTAAGTTTTAGGTTTAGGATTGAGGGTTCAGGGCTGGCCAGGGCCCGCAATTCCAGAATCAAGGAATGTTGGCACAATGCCCACATGACCCGTCACAGTCGTCAGTCTGTTTCGCGCAGAGCAAGTTTGAATCATAACACATACCTGACAGGGTTATACTGGTTTATGTGGAGGTTATTAGAAGGGTGGCTTGCGTAGGCAAGAATGAAGAAACGGAAAAGAACATGTAAACAACCATATTGTCAAAATCTGTAGGGATTACCACTAAGATCCATTGCCTCATTCCTTGGTAGCCACAAGTAAAGACCCTAAACCCTAAACCCCTAAACTCAAGGGATTACGTAGGAGACTGCATGGACCTCTGCCGCGGACGCGCATCCTCGCAAACCGCATAGTCATCAGGGTTTAGGGTTTAGGGTTTAGGACCCCAACTTTGAGAACCTCACCATATAAATGAACAGATATATGGGTGGATGTGAAAATTATGGTCCTCTTCTGGGTACCCTAAAGGTTAGGTGCCGTATTATAATAGGGACCCAAAAAGGGACCATAATTTTGACAACCACCCATATACATATATATATATATATGTACATATAGAAGCTCGCCTTCATCCATTGAAAGACCCTTGGCCCCAGAGAATGGCAAAGGAGGCCGCGAATGCCCAATCGTCGTTATAGTTTAGGGTTTCGGGTTTAGGGTTTGGGGTACAGAGGTTTTTGAATCGTCCTTGTCTGATGCCTACAGAAACCGCATACAAATCCTAAGCCTCAAACTTTATTCCTTGGCCTCTGTATGATGCTAGTGAAACTACTCGTGGTCCCAGATTGATTGTAGATGTATCATATAGGATGCCTCAAATAAACTTGAAATGGTATGGGTGATTACTCAGGTTCCCCTACCTTCCATGATTCCTAGATAAACCCCTATATAACCCCAGTCCCATGTCATTGTCTTGTTCTTTTCCGTTTGATTCTCCATAATTGGTAAGTAATGAGGTCCCAAACCCTAAGCCTCAGCAGTTGACCCCTGTAACCACTGTAAAGGGACTGAAGCAAGAGGCAATGAATGCCCTAAACCCTAAACACATTAGCCCAAACAAAAGGCAATGAATGCCTAAACACATTAGCCGAAACAAGAGGCAATGAATGCCCTCTATGTCTCTCCGGCCTCTGCACCCTCTGCCATCACCGTGGGCTCCATGGGTGTTTCCAAGATTCAGGGCGGGGACTACGTTGCCAGGTGCCTGGTTTGAGAAAGCTGGGGGTTGGGCGTAAGGTTTAGGGTTATAGTCCCCGCTAAGTAGATAGGATATGGCTTTGGGTACATCATAATAAGATCCCCATATGCCCCATATTCTATCTGCTTAAGAGGGACTATAAACCCTAAACCCAACCCTGAACCCCATATTCGATCTACTTAAGGGGGACTAGAAGGGTTTAGGAATTTAGGTTGGGTACTGCCCCCCCTCAGTAACAGTTGGATAATGAATATAATATGGTTATGTATAGCCCTTAATCGGACCCCTAATATAGACTGTTACTGGGGGGGCAGTACCCAACGTCTAGGGTTTCAGGCCTAGGCTTTAGGATGAAGATGGGGTTTGGGTGTAGGGTTTCGGGGGTTTAGAGGGTTGGGTTGAGGGTCTAAGGGTTTAGGCTTTAGGGTTTTAGGCTCTGGGTTGGTGTTGGGGGTTTTGGGGGTTGGGTTTCGGGTTTAGGGTGTAGGGGGCTGGGTTGAAGGTTTAGGGTTTAGGGGGTTGGGGTTCCAGATTTAGGGGGCCCTCTTCTTGGGGATCCTCACAAAAAGGTTGGTATATTGAGCTGACACCTTTCAAATTAGGGGTCTGTTTGAAAAATTGGATAGCAAGAAGGTGAGGATGATATCGGAGCGCATGGAAAACAGGGTTGCTGATGACCCCAGGAGTTGAACAACCACTGCTCAAAATTTTCCGGCATCCACCTGCGGATGTAGCTGCAAAATCCGGTGCTGTTTTGAGCTCCAGTGTGTGGGGGATTAATGCGAGAGCTCCCCCGAAATTAGCATGGAACCCCAAAAGCTTCGTTTTGCAGTGAGGACTTTGTAGGGCTGTTTGCGGGGGTGGTTCCAGTTTACTGCCTTACACCCTAAGCCCGGAGCTCTAAACCTTAAACCCGAGGTCAATCCCTCCCATAGTAATAGGTCCTGGAACTAATAGAACTTTACTATACCAACAATAGTCCCTTGCGGTACTCATTACTAGGTGGGGGATTGACCCCCGCAAACCCTAAAACCTAAATTAACCCCAACCTCCGTGAAACCCTAACAATCCTAGGTACTCCAATTGGGGACCAGCTGTGGACATCTTCGCGCCGGGTGAAGCAATCATCGCAGCTGATGCATGGAACAGCAACGAGTATGCCCCTTCCAAGAATTCTGCTTCAATTCTAGGACGTTGTCGGGTATACTTAGCGTTTAGGGATGTGTATATATATACATATGTTTTGTTAAGGGACAGGACTTGTAGTATCAACAGTGTCTAATTGAGTGCTTAGTGTTGAGAGTCGAGAGAGAGGATTTCGGGCCCGTATTGTCAGTGCTGTTAGCACATGCGTTGCTAGCTGCAAGAAGTCAGGCCACTAGCTTTCAATCTTCTTTGGCACGTGTTGCCTTGGAAACGGGTTTTTCTCCGAATGCGGGCCCTCCGGAACGTAACCCTCAACAGAGGTGGAGTGTAATCCTTGTGATATTGGAGTTTCTCAACATGCGCCATATACATCCAGGGCCCTTAAGGTACCATTGCTTGGGAGAAATGCCCCTATGCTCCGTACATCCTACCCCTAAACCTTAAGCCACCCAACCCTAAACCTGCCAACAAAAGCAAAACCCTAAACCCTAGAACCCTAAACCTCCAAACCCTAAACCCCCTTTAAACCCTTAAGCCCCCAAAACCTTAATCCCCAACACCCTACACTCAAACCCGTAAACCCCAAACCCCTTAAACCCCCTCAAGCCCCCCAAACCCCTAAAACACCTGAACCCTAAAACCCCAAAGCCCCAAAACCCCGAAGCCCAGCCAAGGTTCAGTTATCTGGAACTTCCATGGCTTGTCCCCACGCTTCTTGACTTAAGGTTGATACTACATTTAGGGGGATTAGGGTTTAGGGATGGGATTAGGGTTCAAGGATTAGGTTCTGAGGGTTTAGGGATTAGGGTTTAAGGATTAGGTTGAAGGGTTTAGGGATTGGGTTTTAGGGATTAGGTTTTAGGGTTTAGGGATGTTACCCCAAGCATGGATAATCAAATGGAAGATGAAATGGAAACTGGGATGAGATAGGGGCTTATACTGTTGATGCCAAAAATCCTGCATGGCCTTCGTAGACTATGATACTATCATCCCCAAGGTACAACCGTAGTTGCAGCTGTTTAGGTTTTAGGATTCTCCTGGTTTGGTCTAGGGTTGAAACAAAAAGGCTAGAGCCAAAACTGCCCTACTTCCTATTAACCCAAATAATGTGCGATCTGTTTGTGCATCATGTAGGTGATTTGGGGTAAGGGAAGCCCTTAAGCCCTAAACCTTGGGGAAATACACCATCCCACAACAGGTTAACCATCAGAAGTTTACATTCAAGTTTATGCAATCATGCTCTGTGTTTTTGGTCTTGAGCTTTAGGCTTTAAGGTTTAGGGTTTGGGTATCCTGTTAGGTCGGGATTCTAATACCTCAGCTTAACCATGGCTTTAAGGAAGAGGCCATTTTAATAGAAATTGCAACTACAACGAGTGCTAGGGAAAGGAGTAGTGGTAGTGGCAGAAGTCGCCCTCATAGCTTGTCGTAATGGTGAGAGTAGCAGAATTGTTTAGTATCAAAACAGACGTTCAACAAAATTCGCTAGAACAAAAACCAGGTTTTTAGACTATGAAAGTTTCAATGTCAATAAATGTCTCAAGAGCAGGCTACTCATGGGCCCAGCTTGCGACATAGGATGGTCAGACTGGGAGCTTGCCGGAGCGAACCTAAACTCTGAACCCTAAACCCCTTTTAAGATCCTTCAAAGGGGACCCCCTAATCCCCGTCATTCTTGAAGGACCCCAATTTTCAAGGAAATCCAAAATCTGAAAACCCAGGCCCTGAAAACCTATCCTACAAGGTTCCTGAAAATACGTATTAATTTCTATTACCAACATTCCGAATATTTAGCTGAAATTATAATTTCTACTGGGGTTCCAAATCCCTTAGAGTATCCCTGAAGGCAGGGCTTAGGGTTAGGGTTTAGGGTTTAGGGTTTCGGGTAGGCCTAAAGCCTTATCCCCGAGTGATATAGGAGTTTAGGGTTTAGGGTGAAGATTAGGAGTTTGCATGTTCTTTTCCATTCCCGCTTTTTATGTATTCCCGAGCATGACCATTCCCCACCCTGAGCCCCAAACGCTAAACCTAAAACCCTAAACCTTTGTAGAATATGTGTATATATGTATGTATATAGATAGATAGATATAACCACATAGAAACTCCCATCTCTCAGGTTGCGGGTGCGGCCGCCATCCTATTGAGTCAGCATGCAGCCCTTCCGGCCGCCTCGGTGAAGGAGAAGTCGAAGGGGAGGGTTGAGGGTTTCAGGGTTTGGGTTTAGGGGTTTTAGGGCTTAAGGGTTTGAGGGATTAGGGTTAAGGGTCTGGGGGTTTGGGGGATTAGGGTTTGGGGGTTTGGGATTTAGAGATGATTTGCCGGTCTCTTTGGCGAAGGAATCGGGAAAGGATGTAAAGTGCTGACCCTAAACCCGAAACCGTGTTGTTATAGGACCCACAGTTCGGAGTTGAGCATTTGCATGGGCTGTTTACTGGCCTTGGCTAGGTGAAATGCAGCTTTGGGCATTGTGGGATTTTTTTAGGGCTTCAGATTGCGGGTCTTAAACCCTAAGACATAACCGTTTGCTTGCAAGTTTTCATGCGGAAAGTGCATTGAATTAATGAATCCAGGATGTACCCTCATCTCTGAACGCATAAACCTTCAACAAAAGAGTAAGCACCAGGCCAGGCCTGGTTCATCCTTCGGCCGAATTTCAACTTTAGTCGGGCCTTATTGGCCTTGTCTGGCGGAGCAATGGAAAGATGAGCACACCATGGCGTGACTGGCCTTTGGTTAGCTGGGAATGAAGGAATGGAAAAGAAAATGGAACCTGTAATTGGTTATATCACTCCCTAAACCTTAAACCCTAAACCAAAAACTGCTATAAGGATCCATTCCTTCATTCCCAGCTAACCTAACGTAAGGCAACAGAGGGGTAGTATACTGGAAGCTACAAAGTCACAGTTTAGGGTTCAGGGTTAAGAGTTCGTGCCAAAAAGCAGTCACTTTGAGGGTTTACCTAGACCTTAATGCCTTGTTTGGGGGGGGTCCAAAGAAGATTCTAAGCTCAAAAACCCACCAAACCTCAAAAGTAGAAATACATGCGGTCCAGGCAGGGTTTAGGGTTCCGCGTGAAAAAATTGCCGTGGGATCTTGAGACGGAGCATCTTTGCTTTCAACGGCGCCACTCCGGCTCAATGAGGATCCTCCTTCTCTGATTTTCTGTTTCAGGTTTGTATAATTGCCCCTCATATTTTAGAGGAAGCTCACCACATAGCCACAGTCATAACCGTCATGGAAGCCCTCTTCACCTCCCAACTAACATGGAAACCCATGCCAAGAACCTTAGTAGGAAATACGGGAATGTAATCCCTATTTAATCCCTATATAATGCATCCCCGTATTGCCTGCTAACCCTAAACCCTAAACCCTAAGCCCTAAACCTTAAGCTTTAAACAACAAAAAGCCACAGAGGAGTCTCTCCTGAGATTGGCAAACGAGCGCATCACTGGCCCTTCCTGCAGCTTCTCTATCCTGCAAGTCCCCGAGACGACCGACAAGACAGGGTTTAGGGTCCAGGATTTTTCCCACCCCTGACACGTTTAGGATTTAGGGCCTAGGATTTCGGATTTAGCGTTTTGGGTTTGGGGTCGAATGGAAGATGAAATGGAAAACGAAATCGAGATTGGAGTTACAGGGGGTAAATGGGGTTTACGGTCAAGGGTCTGGGGATAAAATGTATGAAGGGCTCGGGGTTTGGGGTTCGGTGGTTGGGGGTTAGGAAACTGGATTTTGGGGTTAGGGTTCAGGGTTGAGGGATTTTCAAATAGCATACAGAGGTTACATATGGGCGACCAGGGGAATAAAAAGCGATGACAAATCAGGACGTTTGGCAACACTGACCTTGAAAGAGTGACCACAGACCACATTGTAGCGGCATGAAAACAATTCGTGAATCCACACAAGCTGGTTGTACTGGTGATAATATAGTTTGTGCATGGCTTTGGTATACGATATACCTTAGTTCCAACGGTTTTACGTGCTTCGAACCATGTAGGGCTCACTGATAACTGCTATTCCAGGATGAGTCCTTCTAGCATCAACAGGACGCTGATGGACACCGAAACGCACCAGACTTGCGAGAACGACTTCAGCGTCCTCCTTGACATGACCTCTCCCGTGTTGGTTTCCCCTTGCGGCTTGTCATTATGTTGAGAGAAGGGGGTGTAGGCCTAGGGTGTAGCTCTTTAGTATTAAGACGTACAGCTTCTGTGTTAAGGTCGTTCCCGTATTCCATGTGCTAGTGGTTCTGTGCTGTTCCCTTACTTTTTGACGTAATTTGAGGATACTTCTTGAATTGAGAGGAGGGAGAGCGAGAGAGAGAGAGAGAGAGAGACTTTGGTTCCAAGCCGTAAAGTGAAGAGCATCTAAAAGTCACATGGCAATCATAGGGTGGCCCAAGCTGTCTTCATCATATAAAATAGGAGTTTCGCAAAATTGCCACTCTCGGATTCTTCATAGGCGCCCCGTAAACCCTAACCCTAAACCCTGAAACCCAAAATAATAGCTTCCATGTTCTTTTCCAGTTTCCCAATATAACCCCAATATTATCCCAATACCTATCACGCCATGAAAATCCTCACATATCCCCAGGTTCCCTAAGGGCCTCCCTTGCTTGGAAAAGTCCCCAGGTGGCTGTGGAACCCAAAGCCTCTAAACCCTGAACCTTAAAATTCAAATTCTAAACAAAAAAAGCCCTTTGAAACGTACCCAGGTGGCTCCCCCCTAACCCTAATTCCTAAACTCCTGAGCCCTGCACCCCCTAAACCCGAAACCTCCTCAACTCTAAACCCCCTGAACCCTGAATTCCTAAGCCCTAAACCTTAAAGCCTAAGCTTAGGGTTTAGGGCTTAGGGTTGTTTGGGTTTCAGGGTTTAGGGTAAGCCTGCCCAGGTGGCTGTGGAGGGGAGACATGTGATTCGACTCCGGAGCCCTTAACGTTTTCGGACAGCCCACTGGTTGCTCCCATGGCTGCTGACTTTGGCAGAGCCTTACACGGTTTGGCGTTTAGGGCGTGGGGTTTAGGGGACTTGGGTTTAGCAACAATGGAAAAGGAAATGGAAACTACTATACTGTTTTAGGGTTTAGGGCTTGGGGTTTAGAGTTTAGGGTTTAGGGCTTGGGGGTAGTTGTGCTATAATCTAAACTTCGTCAAGGGGGTAGGAATAATGGAAAAGAAAATGGAAACTACTATAGTATATATCGGGGTTATATAGGTTTTTGGGCTTGGGGTTTAGGGTGAAGGGCTTAGGGCGTGGGGTTTAGGGGTTCAGGTTTAGGGGATTTGGGCTTAGGACTTGGGTTTAGTAATAATGGAGAAGAAAATGGAAACTACTATAGAGTTTAGGGTTCAGGGCTTGGGGTTTAGGGCTTAGGGTTTAGCGTTTAGGGTTTAGGGCTTGGGGGTAGTTGTACTATAATCTAAACTCCGTCAATGGGGTGGGGATAATGGAAAAGAAAATGGAAACTACTATAGCATATTGGGGTTACATAGGTTTTTGGGCTTGGGGTTTAGGGTCTAGGGCTTAGGGCGTGGGGTTTAGGGGTTCAGGTTTAGGGTATTTGGGCTTAGGACTTGGGTTTAGTAATGATGGAGAAGAAAATGGAAACTACTATAGAGTTTAGGGTTTAGGGCTTGGGGTTTAGGGCTTAGGGTTTAGCGTTTAGGGTTTAGGGCTTGGGGGTAGTTGTACTATAATCTAAACTCCGTCAATGGGGTAGGGATAATGGAAAAGAAAA